AGAGAGAGAGAGAGAGAGAGAACCAGTCGAGTGCCGAACCACTTATAGCTGTTTGAACCTAATTGTGTGGTACAACCGTGACGAGTACTTAGTAACAAAATTAATCCGGCCTCCCTACTAATTTAGAAATTGAGAATCACCACCATCATCATCATCATCATCATCATCATCAGGTGCCTTGCCGTCTAGCGTGGGCGATCATGGACCTCCACTTCCATCTGTCTTGCGTTGCAGCAATGGTGTCTCTTGTTCCTGCTGCTCAAAGCCATGTTGTCAACTTGTCCAATATCGTTTCCCTCTGTCTACCTCAGCCTCTCTTTCCATCAAACTTGCCTGTTATTACAATATTCTCGAATGCTTCTTTCCGCATAAATTGAGAATAGCGTACTGGCATTACAGCTTGGTACCGCCACCCCCCCCCCCCCATCTCTTTATGAAAACAACATTAATTTGTGTAGGTTCGATTAATACGGCCCTTTCAATTCCATAAGTTATTTACCCTGTGGCGTTGGTGGCTTGGTGGTTAGCCACTCAGACTCACAATTGTAATATCGTGGGTTCGAATCCCGTCAGGGACTCGACGCTGTGTCCTTGAGAAAGGCACTTAACATTAATTTTTCTCACTCCACCCAGGTGAGAATGGGTAGGTGCCTACCCTTCTATAGACGGTGGAAAACTTATCAGTTTGTCAGTGTTTGAGCACTTAATCAGCTGCTTGCACTGTATGCTTCCCGGAAAGCTGAGAATGTTCTTGAGTGATCTATGGTCTGCAGAGGTAATAATATAATGTAAAGCCTGTAAAGCGCATAGAGCTTGCTGTCGAGCTGGGGTGTGTGCTGTACAAATGCTATTTGTTATTATTATTATCATCATCATCATCATCATCATCATCATCATTTTTATTATATTATTAGTGGTATTATTATGATGATGATGATTATTTTACAAGGAAAGATCTCCGAATTCAAAGTCCATCTCCATTAGGACTCCCCTCACTTTCCCTCAACCACCGCAGAAGCTGTCAAGTTCTGAGGTCAATATTATACTTCCTGTGAAGTGATTGAAGCAGGCTTTAGTTTTATTGAAGAGTTTTATTTTATAGATAGATGGATAGATACACACACACACACACACACACACACACACACACACACACACACACACACAC